GTGGGCCTGCTCCCCTGGATCTGGTCTATAGGCCTGCCTCCTCCCCAAAGCTGCCGCACTCTCTCCCAGGTGTTCTACTCCTGTCCCCCTTGGCAGTGCAGACAATGCAGGGAAAGCTTTGAAAAGTGTGATTGTAAAGCTCAGCGATTACCTGGTCACAAGAGCAGTGAAAGGCCGACCCCCCGGCTGCTGTTCTCCATGGCTACTCCCAGCTCCTCGGCCCCTCAAGAGCATGGTGTGCACTGAGTCTGCTGTCTGGTCTCAGATGTGGTCAGCTCATAAAGCTGCTTCCTGAGGTGGACAGTGGTAAGGGCCGTGGGCCTGGGACCAAGACCCAGGAGGGGGCCCCTGCAAGCAGTGAAGGCCTCACACGCTTACTGACTCAGGAGTTCCGTCCCCTGGCCACGCGTCCCCTTAACCTCAGATTGAGCAGCACTGTCACTGGCCCCGTGGATTGTGTCTGTCATCCTTGGTGGGGACCCTGTCCTTTGGGTGGAGAGCCCGGTCCTCTCTGCCGGCAGTCCCAGAGCAGTAACAGGCCGAGTTGGGTAGAAAGGACATTGGCAGCAGGTCAGGGTTCAGGCCGCTCCCTGCGCCATGTTGGTCTTATGCTCTGAGGAGGGCGCTGCGGCACTGACAGGGACGCATGTGTGCACCGTGTTTGTGCTGCACTGACGGGGACGCGCGTGTGCACCGTGTGTGTGTACTGTGTGTGTGCTAACTCGTGCACGAGCTCCCCGCGTGGCGAGCAGTGGCCTGGCCCCTGAGCCGACCCTCTCAGCACAGTGAGTGGACACACAAGTCTTCTGGCCAGCAGAGCCACGCTCACCTGTGCGCACTTGTCCTCAGGGACCGGGGTGCAGGGCCACACCCCTGGAGATGATGCAGGTGATGCCACAGTGCTGTGTCGGGGGGCTGTGTGGCCTGATGCTTGTCCCTCCCTCACCTGGCAGGTAAGCCTGAGCTCCCCAGGCAGCCCGGCTCCACGGCCCAGTACGATGCGGAGGCGGCACGGTCCCCGGAAGGGGAGACCACGGGGTCGGACTCGCCACAGAGCAGCACAGACGCAAACCGCTTCCTGCACACGCTGGACTGGCACGGTAGGGGCCCTCGCGCTGCCTGCCCGCGGTGGGGCCCCGTCCGTCAGTGTCCCGAGCCCCTCCACGTGCCGCCGCCTCGCCTCCGCCACTTCTCGGGTGTTGTCTGGTCCCGACGGCTGGGCCGGCCAGAGTGGCCCTGGTCTCGGTCTGGTCACAGCACTCAGAGCCTAGGCCCCCGGCAGAAACCAGACGCCGAGCTCCAGTGCTGAAGGCACTAGCTGGGACCCGTGGACGGTGCCCGGGAGGGATGGGTGGAGGCCGCTGGGGGAGCGGGGCCTGCAGGGGTGCCTGCTGAACCTCGGGGGCGAGCCTGGCCTGTGCACAGCGCAGTGGCCTGTGAGCCTGCCCGGGGCCAGCTCACTCTGCTCTGGGCGCCCACCTGCGCTCACTGAGGGGTGCTGTGGGGAACCTGATAAAGGGGGGTGGGGAGGGATCCCACTGAGGGGGGATGTTGAGAGCATCCACTGAGGGGTGCCGAGGAGGGAGGAGGGCATCCCTCCAAGTGCTGCTAAGGGGGTTCTGGGAAGGGGGGAAGATTGAGGGCCTCCAAAGAGAAGTGCCGCTGCTGTGGGGTGCTGAGTAAAGGGGGACGGGAAGGCATCCACTGAGGGTGCTGCTATGGGGTGCACACCAAGGGCTGTGTGCTGCAGGAGGACAGGGGGACCCTGCAAGGCGCCTCCTCCCCCATGCGGCCTGCCTTCGGCCCTCTCCATTCTACTCTTGTCCTGGCCCCAGCTCTGCCGAGTACCCCGTCTTGTTACCGCAGTGACCCCTGCTCACAGGGAGTCTGGGGCCTGCAGGGAGGTCCAGAGCAGATAGACACTGAGTCAGGGTCCAGGTGACCAGTGTCCGCCTCGAGGTGGCTGTGGTCACTCCCGGTTCTGAGCTGGGTGGGGAGCAGGCCCAGGGCCTGGACCTCAGGCTCACACGTGCATGTCCACATGGAGGTCCCCACACGGAGACCCCGTGGCTCTGCTCTCACACTGCAGAGCACGGCAGCGTGCCCCCCTGATTGAGCCACCCCTGCCTCTGTCCTGACAGTGTCGCCCCCTCTGCCAGGTGTCGCAGGCCTGCGGGTCCTCTATATCCCTGCAGGTGAAGCCAGGGGCCGTGGGCAGTGCTTTGGAGCGCAGGACCCCTGGAGTGCTGCTCTGGGTGGAGCACAGAGACTGGGCTGGGGACAGTCCCCAGGCTCTGTGAGAGCTGGCCCCCATCCTAGGACATTTCCCCATATCAGACAGCACGCCAGACTGGGGGGATGGGAACGGGGTGTCCACACAACCTTGGGAGCCTGAGATGACGGCCATTCATCACTGGTGGGCGGTGTGTCCCCCGGAGGGCGAGGGCCGTGGTTAGTTCAGTCATGGGTGCTGTCCCGCAGAAGGTGGGGGTCACTGTCGGGACAGCGTCCTGCTGAGGACAAGGGAGTTTCTGGTGTCTGGCCTGGTGGCTCCTCAGTCTGCTCTGACACATCCGCTGTCCCCTGCCCCTCGGTGCCCCCTTGCTCCTGTGTCCTCACTGCAGACCCCACATGTGCCCTCCCCCTGCTCAGAGTTGAGCTGTGCAGGTCGACGGGGGCCCCTGGCCAGTGCTCCTCTGCTGTGGCGTGGTGCCGGGCTGGTCCTCCTCCACTTCCTCCTCTGCCTCGTGTCCTGTTCCTCCTTCTTGTCATCTCCCTCCTCCTCTTCCTGTTCCTCCTTCTCCTCTTCTTCCTCCTTCTCCTCTTTCCTCACTCCCTTCACTCCCGACCGGGAAGCCCTGAGAGCCTGGGGAACGGGGGACCTGCCATGGGCATGTGGGCTCCCTGGCTCGGTTCCACCGTGTTGGGTGCCATCAGGGGTCCAGTACTGTGTCTGCTGACCTGTGGCCTGTGCTGTCCTTTTCACAGAAGGGAAGGAGTCTGAAGCTGTCCCAGAAAACAGCTTCCTCAGAGAGAGCCAGACCGTGCTGGCCGAAGACCACGACGAGAGTGAGCTGTCAGAGGAGGATGCCACCGCCTTCTCAGGCGAGAGCTGGGAGGCCCCGGCCGAGGACAAGGCAGGAGGCCCAGGCCCGGCCCCAGACCGAGACCCGCTGTTTACCGATGAGACGCCCTCCCCACCAGAGCCGGCGCCCGAGGACAGTGTGGATCTGCTGGGGCTGCACACAGACACGGAGCCAGCACCCCCCACGCAGGCCACGGGGGCTGCCAGCAACGCCGCCCTGCTCAGCGGACTCTTCGTACCCCCCGCCACAGCCCCCACGGCAGGGCCCCAGGGCCCCACGGCCGACCTGCTGAGCGGAGAGGGCGAGCTCTTCTTCACCAGCCCCGGCCCAACCTTGGGGGTGCAGAGCACTCCCCATGAGCGTCCCCCAGCTGGTACGTGCACCCCATGCCCCACGAGGGCCCCCCAGCTGGTACATGCACC